GGAGTCGTCAGTTCGACCTCTACACAAGAAACTTCAGCTGATGGTTTGCCGTTTGTCAGGCAGTGTCTACAGACTCAGTGACTGTCAGATGACACCATATCCATTGTCATGAATTCATGGAGGGGGAGCACCCAGAAACAGTACAGAACACACCTAGTCAAGTGTCGTGATTTCTGTGAACGGGAATGTAGAGACCCCTTTGTACCTAGTCTTAGAAAGCTGTACGACACTGGTTGTGACACACATGCACCTCTCGCCCTCCCGGTATGTACTCTGGTTTCTAGTGGGTTAGTTCTACGGAACAAAGTACTTAAAAGACTGAAGCCGATTCCTCAAGTGCAATCTCATGTGAGCTCACTTGTTCCCTGATGCCTAATAGGATCGCGATCAAACTTCAACTTACAGGTAAGTCTCGTTTAATTTCTCAATTTTTATTCTCCTAGATGCAGTGAAGAATGTGTACCAACAAATGCTAGAGTGAGAGAGAGAGAGACTTAACGACCACCCACAATTTTGAGCCACCGAGAACAAACCAGTGGCAGTCATAGAAAAAGAAACAGCTTAAGGTTTCCCTCAGGATGTGTTTCAGCCAACAACTGGAAGAGAGACAACCAGCAACTGAAACACGTTTGAAATTTCCCTCGAACGAACCTGCACAGATGAGTCCTGGTGTCATGTAGTATATGGGTAGGATCAATGAGAACTGTGCATTCAACAGCCATAGTGTTAAAGTAAAAGGTAGTGGATGAAACGAAAAATCTGATTGGTCGTTCGCTTTCTGGCTTGAAAATAGAAAGTGATCTTATTTGATCTGACACCGATTTGACATCTGAGCGTTGTTACGCAAATATCATAAACAAATAAGGAATTTAATGATGGTTATGAATGAAATAATGATGAGTGGAGTTTGACCACGTGTTGCGCCATTTTGCGTACAAGTGAAAGTGAAACAAAGATGACAAAGTGTCCCGATGTCACCGAAACTAGTAGCGGTAATAAAAAAAACTTTGTGTTGCACAAAAATTCAAGAAAGACTACAGTGTCAATTTTCCATTTTTAATAGAATCAAAACTTGGCGATACGTATGCATTTTGTACTATGTGCCATACAGACTTCACGATTTCACACAGTGGACATTACGAATGTAAAAAACATGTGTCGACCAAAACACATTTGGATTACGCTAAATGTTCGCAGTCAAAACCTGATCATAACGATCTTGTAACCAGTGTAACGAAATCTGAAGTATTGTTTACTCAGTTTCTAATTGAGCATAATTTGCCAATTGCTGCTGCTGACCACGCCAAACGTGTTTAAGGAGATGTTTCCAGATTCAGATATCGCTTCAAAATACAATTGTGGAAGAACCAAAACAACTGCTATAGTTAAAACGCTTGCTGAGGAGAAAACTACTTCGATTTCTGATCACATGAGAGAGGGGCCATTTTCTATCAGTACAGATGGGCGCAAAGGGGCAGTCCACAGTTATATCTCATAGTTGTGTTGTGTACAGAACAGGATGGACACAAGTCTGACAAAAGCAGCAGCATGGGTAAAATTACACATGACAAGGAAGAAACCCCAAAGAGAGAACTGATGAGAGAGATGATAATGGTGACTCAAGAATAAACAGAATAAACAAACTGTATATTCTGTTCTTGTCTAATGCATTTCCTATCTTCAATAAGGCTAATTTAGCTTTGCAGAGGGAATCTCCTCAAGTTCACAAAATGAGAAAAATTCTGAGAGGAATCTTTGACCAGACTTATTTGTGAGGTTTTTGAATCCTAAAGCTGTAGCTGATGCAGAAGACATCTTTGCCATTGAATTTGAAAGAAGAAACAATCAAAGAGACAAAGAAGAGATTGTGATTGGTTCTTCAATGTACATGAAGGAGGAGAGAGAGGCAGGGAAACTCAGTTCAGACAGTGTTGCAGAATTCTACAGGGAAGTGAGACAGTTCTACTGCAGTTCTTGCAACTACATTCACAGGGTTTACATGCTGCGTGATTCCTGCGTATTTGATGCAACAATTTTGTAAACAACTCTCAAAATATTATCATACGAGTCAAGCTTGACGAAAGTTTTATGGTGGCCCTTACAATTCAGTTCAATAAATCGATTTGATAAGCAAAAAATGATATTGTTTGATGATAGTTTGACTTTTACAGAGATGTCAGATTGTTCCAGAGAACTCAGAGCAGACAGTAATCCTGGCTGTTTGAAGTGAACAATGCTGTAGTTTCATTTGGTGGTGTGACATAGACAGTTACATACTGAGAATGATTAACACAAAGAAATATGAAACTTTTCATCACTCCCAAATATTGAAAATGACTCCCCAAAATAAATATTGTGAGTCATCATGACTCCCATGTTTAAAAGTCTGTGTAAAACCCTGTATTCTCAAGTCATTCCCTCTGGACCAAGAACTGTTGGGGCATGCAGGGGTATTGGACATTGCTTTGAGAACATCAGCAAAGTTTTCATCCATAGAATACTTCATTACAAGGTTTCCTGTCTTGAGCAAGTTCATCAAAGATTCAGACCAGCAGATCATATCTGACAAACTTGAATCAGAATTTCTTCAATATCAAGTTGACAGCTTATCAGCAGACATCCTAGAAGCTGAGAGGATTGACCAGGCATGGGACTTAATTGGCAAGTTGAGAGACACTGAGGGGTCAGTCAAGTATCCTCTACTCCCACGTGTCTTGTTGGGGACTTGTGTAAATCTGATAGTGAGTGGATATTCAGCATTGTCAGAAAAAACAAGACTGACTTCAGCCCCAACCTGTCAGTGGGTGTACTGTCATCCATGATGGTGATGAAAATAGGGATGTCAGCTAATGAGACTGCCTGTTACCAACAGGTCCCATTAAAAGAGTGAGTGAAGAAGGCTAAGAGTGCTACCTACCTATCTCGGCAATAAAATAGTAAGATAAACTGCATTGTTGCCTTCAATTTAAAATGGTAAGATAAACTGTATTGTTGCCATCTATTGTAAACTTGATTTATGCAGAGCGTTAGTGCCATTACACTTTTCTCATTGAAATTACACTTTTTTGACATTGAGATTACACTTTGGCATTAGTTAGGGTTGGCATCTCTGTATATGGATCAGCGGCTCGGCATTACCAAGAACTTTCCTTAGATATTCAGTTTGTGACTAGCAGGTTCACCATGGCCAAAAGGGGACCCACAGAAACAGTGAGTGAGTGAGTGAGTGAGTGAGTGAGTGAGTGAGTGAGTGTGGTTTTATGCCGCTTTTAACTATATTCCAGCAATATCACGGCAGGGGACACCAGAAATGGGCTTCACACATTGTACCCAGTGGGGAATTAAACCAGTGAGTGAACGCTTTAACCACTTGGCTACCCCACCACCCCATACACACATGGAGTTTATAATCAAACTAATCAGTCCTTTATCAACACCCATTTGTTTCCATAGGGAATAAGTATGAAATATGTTCCCATGAACCAGGGGAATATATGTAACACTTTCTGTCTGATGTGAATGCAAGGTTTCAGAGAGATGTTGGAATAAGATCTGGAAACAAGATGAGGCAACGGATGGAAAAGATGGAACACATCACATTATCGTGAAGTTTGTGAGAAACGGCATAGTTACTTTCTTTCATGGCTCAAGCATGTCAGCTGCATGTCTGTTCTGATACCAGAAATGTACAAGAATACAATGTAATAACTACATGAAAATTGCAACATGACCTATTTCCTAAAGATTTTTCCTTCAAGAATGTTTCAAGAAATCTTTACCTGTCTGGGTTCCAACTAAATAACTACATATATTACTGGATGATGTAAAATTCAAGTGCACAAGTTTGAAGGCAAGTGTCAAAAGAAGTAAATAGCACTGCATTTGTCATTAGATCATGACACATAGCTAAAGCATGTGAAGTGAGATGCAGATTTGGATAAAGGATCTATCTTATTCTGGCATGCCTATGATATGCAACTCTGTGCACTGAGTGAGTGAGTTTAGTTTTACGCTGCACTCAGCAATATTCCAGCTATATGGTGGCGGTCTGTAAATAATCGAGTCTGGATCAGACAATCCAGTGATCAACATCATGAGCATTGATCTGTGCAATTGGGATAAAATGAGGTGTCAACCAAGTCAGTGAGCCTGACCACCCGATCCCGTTAGTCGCCTCTTACGACAAGCATGGGTTGCTGAAGGCACATTCTAACCTGGACCTTCACGGGTTGATCTTCATGAGCACTGAATTGCGGCACCTTAACAACTAGCAAACTGTTTAATACCATAATAATTCATAGGGACCTCACTGTCATATTTTATATAACTACATCTAAGCTGAAACCCCCAGCCCATGATGACAAGAACCTTTTATCATCCTTCTGTCTAATGCCTATTTAACCATCAGCATATTGTAAACAAATATTTGGCCACACATCAGGAGAATAGTTGCACAATATTTGGCAATAAAGGATTTAAGTACATAAGCATGGTTACCATACCTACAACACACTTCATCACAATATACAATCTCATTAAAGTCAGTCCTTAGTTCTCGCTTGGCTAAACAGATCTTCGACATGGCATTACAGGTTATATTAGAATGATCACCATTAAGGTGACAGTTGGAATGTGTTTTCCAATCATGCAACCTCAAAACGTTTAGCACAGTGTATTCTGAATGATGATTAATGGTTTTACCACTGTCTCTGGAAAGTACTTTCAGCAGTGTAGGCCATGCGTTAAGCATTTGTTCAGTTTTCAAACTAATTGACAACTTGAGGTTCTTGGGAGGCATATAGATATAGACAAAATATTATGGATGTCAACTTCTTCTTTATTGTATTGGGTGATGAAGGCCAAGAAACTTTGTGTTTACAATAAAGAAGAAGTTGACATCCATAATGTTTTGTATTATAATTGAGAACTTGGTCAAAATATTTTTCTAACTGCAGTTTCCAGTTTGAAACTTGTGCAGCTTTACTAGAAAAAGCTGCTTTCTGATTTGTTATTGTTGACCTATTGTCAAATCATTTCATGTTTCGGTCAAAGTTTGTAAAATGTAATTCTAACATGAACTGACCTCATTAGCGGAAACTAGGATTGGTTTTTATAGAGATTGACATACTATGGGAATGTATCACACAGCATTATGGGTATGGTAACAATAATATCATAATAATTTACAATTGGACAGTCATTCTTTTTAAATATAAAACACAAAACCCATAACAATCTGATTCATTCTCAAAGCAAAAGCAAGGTCAAGCAACCACACAATAGCCATTCACCTTACATATCACCCCAAGACAAAAATGCAGGTCTTGGTAAATAGATTAAATCATGTAAATGTAAAGATAGAAAAATATAACCAGATTTTGGACGAATGCTATGAATAACCCCAAAAATATGTCGGTTTCTTGTTCACCTTTCTTTCTCGTGCAACAAAGGCAGTAAATGAGGATACACAGTTTCCAATAAAATGGTCAGCCATACCTAAAATGGCAAGATCAACCTGAGGTAGCCATGGGTCGTGGTAAAATATCTGCACCTGTAAATATACAAGATGGTCACCATGATTGTAGCTTGTTTAGATTTACATCATAATTTCATCATCATAACAGTTTGGTTGTTGGTTTGTTGGTTAATGCTGGGCTCAGCAGTATTCCAGCTATATGGCGGCGGTCTAAATAATGGACCAGACAATCCAGTGATCAACATCATGTGCATCGATCTACGCAACTGGGATACGATGACATGTGTCAACCATGTCAGCGAGTCTACCACATGATCCTGAAGATCAATTCTAACTCGGACCTTCATGGGTCTACAGGGTTAACACCATTTTTATAATTATTGCCCTGCTGATAGTGGTAGCCCAACAGGATATCAAGCCACAGATTAACATCGATACACTAAGAAACATTACAATGCTTGTGAAGCCAAACTGTCCTTGTTTTTAGCAGTGTATGAAATAAGGCTGTCTGACTGCCCGAGACGGTCTAGATTTCTGACGGACGGTCTAACTTTACTGCTAGACAGCCCGATGGTCTGGTAATTTTTTTTAGATATTCCATACATCTGAGTAAATTCACCATATCTTGGTGTCTGGTCTGGTTAAATCCATTTTGGGCTGGTAACATTTTGAAGTTACCAGCCCTGGTGTCTGGCTGGGTTTTTGGCTTATTTCATACACTGTTTTTAGCCCCTAATACTGAGAGCCAGGGTTACAACAAGTACCATCTTTCACTGTGTTTTCATCATAGAGGATTGAACCACTGACTTTCTGCTCTGCGGCAGAAACTCTATCCACTAGACCACAGACAGGCTGCCATTTTCCATGACATGAAACATAACTATACACTTCAATACATGATTTGATTTAATAACGGAAAAGGCAACATGTCATTATTACAGACCGTGCTATAAAGCATTTCACAAAGTCTGATTTGAAGAAAATTGCTTTGAATCCCTCGCTAGTGGCATGTAGAGCTCCTAAAGGACGCAACTGAATACAGCCAACTAGTCACCATCCTTTTGAGCATGGGTTACAATACTAATACTAATAAAATAAGTTAAATAAAATCTAATGAGACTTTAGTTTTAGTCCTCAGCAATATTCCAGCTATATGGCGGTCTGTAAATAATCGAGTCTGGACCAGATGAATCAACAGCATGAGCATCTAACTTCGCAATTGGGAACCGATGACTAATAAACATGACCACATACTCAACAAGATACTATGGCAAGCACATGGGTTGCTGAAGACCTCATTCTACCCCGGATCTTCACGAAAATCCAATAAGACTGCAGTTAATCTGTATATGACCATGACAGTACAAGTATTGCCACATGAACAGTAGTATGTGCTTGTTTTTGTTTACACAAAGACTTATTTGCCTCCACAAGGGCAGGTTAGTTACCCTTGAGGTGTCTCATACTGGACTGGCTTCCATTCCGCCCCAGTGGAAGAAATGGTTTGACTATTTTTTGGTAATATAGTTCAGAATATACAAATGCCATTTAGAAAGTGGTCAAATGTCATATATGTTAAATGGTTATATTACACTTTCTCAGTAAAGGACAGATTCCATCCCATCTGGGATTCGAACCCACACCCTGAGTCAGGCACCTAATTGCCAGCACATAAAGTGCTGCGGCTTCCACCGTGGTGGCTGAGCAGGTTAAGCATCTGACTTTCTGTGCTGGTGCATAGGTGCCTGACTCAGAGGGTGTGGGTTTGAATCCCAGATGGAGCTCAACCCAACAAAAGTACTAGAATCTGTACCTTACGGAGAAAGTGTAATCCCAAATATAACATATGTTATAATATAGTTAAGTTGACGGCAAGTTTACCTGAAGGTCTTTCAAGTGTTCCTCTAACTCCTGCAGCATGGGGTTTCTATCCGTCGCCACGTAGACAACTCTTGCTTTGGATGTCAAAACAACCTCCCTGGTTAACCTGTGGAGGGCAACACTTTATGTATGATACTCAACTTTTGACAGGGATAATCAGAGTGAGTGAGTGAGTATGATTTTATGCCATTTTTAGTATTATTTCAGCAATATCATGGCGGAGGGCCAACAGAAATGGGCTTTACATGTTGTACTCGTGGGTGGAATTGACCCTATGTCTATGACATGACAGGCAGATGGTTTAACCAATGGGCCATGCACTCCCTGTAAATACACAATTCGAAACTACAAACTATTGTCTTGTGGATTTTCTGTCACATGTAGTTGGTATGCTGTGTGACATTGGTTCTGAAATAACTTGAGCTATGAATACAGACATCAAGGCTTGAAGTCAGGGCAATCTTACTGTGATGCTAATGCCCAGAAACCACACACAACACATGGGACGGTTGGGCAGCACAGTGGGTTCAAGAGTTTTCATGTCACACTGAAGTCCCTGGTTTCATTTCCCACACTGGTACAAAGTACCATTTATGGTGTCCCCTCAATGATATTGCTTACACCATACATGATCAAACAACACAAAATTTCAGTGTCTGTAGGATTTGTGTCCTATGCTTAACTTTAAAAACAAGAGTAATCAGAAGATGACATGTCCCCCGCCCCCACTTCTTTGATAGAACAAATCATCTGACATTTACTTAAAGTCCAGCTTGATTTTCGACTAAGTGCAAATCGTTTCCATGGAAATCATGAAAAACATATATGACAAAAATCTGCAAATAGCAAAAGGCACCACTTCAAGATCTGCCTCACATATCTGCCAAGTTTTACTGAAAGATATTAAGAAGTTTTTGAGTTGTGCTCCGGAAACGAAAACCTACCCCTCCCTTTTGAGACTAAGTCCAAATCGTTTCCATGGAAACTAGGAAAAATAAAAATGCCCCAAATCTGCAAATAGCAAAAGGCACCACTTAAGGTCTGTTTGATATATCTACCAAGTTTTGTTGAAAAATACCTAACGGTTCTGGAGTTATGCTCCGGAAACGAAGCCCACCGCTCACTTTTGGGACTAAGCGGGAAAAATAAAAATGCCAAAAATCTGCAAATAGCAAAAGGCACAACTTTAGGATCTGGTTGGATATATCTACCAAGTTTTGTTGAAAAATATTGAATGGTTCTTGAGTATGCTCTGGAAAAGAAGCACACCCCTCACTTTTGGGACTAAGTCCGAATCGTTTCCATGGAAACCGGGAAATGTAAAAATGCCAAAAATCTGCAAATAGCAAAAGGCACCACTTAAGGTTCTGTTTGATATATCTACCAAGTATGGTTGAAAAATATGGAACGGTTTTTTAGTTATGCTCCGGAAACGAAGCCCAACCCCTCTTTAAGACTAAGTCCAAAACCTTTCCATGGAAACTGAGAAAAATAAAAATGACAATAATCTGTAAATAGCAAAAGGCACCACCTTAGGTTATGTTTGACATATCTATCAATTTTTGTTGAAAAATATCGAAAGGTCTTTGAGTTATGCTACGGAAACAAAATGATTACAGACGGACGGATGGACGGACGGACGGACAGACGGATGAGGTGACGACTATATCCACCTGCATTACATGCCGGGGGATAAAAAGCAACTCACTTCTTTATGAAAACCAGTAAAACATGATAAATGGTTACATTCTAAACTATATTCTAACATCAAATCTTCCACCGAATATGGTAAACACTAATATGGCTGTGTTCCACTCTCCCATTTGGCACACATATCCTGTGTTTGGTCAAGTTGATGTCTGAGTAACTAAAGAGCATTTTGGTCACATACTACAAATTTTAAGCATTTGCCTATATAATCTGACCGCACCAGTTTACAGAGAATCTTGCTGGACAATTCTCAATTGGCTGGCACATGGACAATTCTCAATTGGCTGGCACATGGACAATTCTCAATTGGCTGGCACATGGCCCAGTGGGTATTAGCTGATCCATATTGCCTAGAATCATAGAATGCTCATGGTTCAACGGGATTGGTGCACATGTAGATCAACAGAAGATATTGATACCTGAGAACTTCTTCAGCTGGAGGCAGACACATCTCCCTGGTAACCTTTCCTTTCCCTGTGTAGCCCAAACACTGTGGGGAAGCCATGAAGGCTGACCGACCCTCGGCATGTACACAGGCATTCTCCTGCAATCAGTCACCTTGTTGTTTTTAGGCACAGCCAGTTAACAGTTAAATTAGAGCCTTGGTTTGAATCAAATCGTAACAAAACACACGCTTTGATAATTAATCTGGTAGTTCAGACTCTGAGGTAGAAATTTACGTGAAACACTTCCTTCCTAGCCCAGATTGGGTTAACAGAAAGAGTCAGCATGAAAATCCTGAAATTTTACATGGTATCCGGATGACCTTGACTTTACACAAACTGACTCGGGCTGGGATGGAAGAGTGAGTTTCGACTGCATTAAAACACAGTTACACTCACCCAATCTTGACCATTTCTCATGTGTAGACCAACATAAGCCTCTCCGGGAAAACTCTTGTTGATATAATCCAAGGCTTCTAGTTTCATCTTCTCTGACCAGTGAACGTATTTCTGTAGATTCACATGCTCCTCTTTGACAGGGAAGGAAGCTGGGGCTCCCTTGAAGGCCATCACTGGGTACTTGCTGGCTGGATAACTACAGAGATGGAAAACATCACTGTCTGACTGGCTGGGTAGCCTGTTTTGACATCTTCAATACCTATCATTACTTCTGAATTTAGTGAGTGAGTGAATTTAGTTTTATGCCACACTCAGCAATATTCCAGCTATATGGCGTCGGTCTGTAAATAATCAAGTCTGGACCAGACAATCCAGTGATCAACAGCATGAGCATCGATCTGCGCAATTGGGATACAACGACATGTGTCAACCAAGTCAGAGAGCCTGACCACCCGATCCCGTTAGTCGCCTCTTACGACAAGCATGGGTTACTGAAGATCAATTCTAATCACGGGTTCTGAATTTAGTGATCTTATTAGCTGGCCAATATTAACCTACATGTCCATGTCACTATTATCGTGATATATTTCCCGCATGACACTGACCTGTCAATCCAGCTCTGTGTGTAGTCGTACCCCAGGTTGTAGATCACATAATCAACAAAGTCAACATTCAGTCCATCCCAAAAAGGCCCGAATGGATTCCCTGAAGGAGAAAGAATTGATAACATTGTGATTTGCCTGTTTTACGTGTTATTCCATATTTAACACTCATTACAACCAATAATCTCCGTCCATGCATTAAAAACTCAATACCCAACGTTCACCTTACTTTGATGACTGTGAGGGATCATGATTATAAACCGGTATTTAGAGAAATCACAGTTTAGATTTAGAATGAGTGAGTGAGTTTAACTTTGCGCCCCACACAGCAATATTCCAGCTATATGACGGCGGTCTGTAAATAATCGAGCCTGATCTAAACAATCCAGTGATCAACTGCATGAGCATCGATCTACGCAACTGGGATACGATGACATGTGTCAGCCAAGTCAGCAAGCCTGACCACTGGATCCCGTCAGTTGCCTCTTAAGACAAGCATGGGTTACTGAAGATTAGGGCTGCAACGAATACACTATTTGGCGAATATGATACGTATCACGAATATTGGGTAACAAATACGAAAAATTATTCATGAATATAATATTGTAGTTAAGTGATTGATGCACAAAGTGGAACGCCCATGTTGATAGTGTTAATTTATCACAGCAATAACCAGTGATCTCATGACACTCAAATTTGGTATGTAATAGTTAGTCAACAGTACCATTTGCGACCTTGGCAAACTAACATAACGTGCGCTACTACAGGGATATTCCATTCTTGCATATCTCACTTTGAAAAAGGACATAATGGTCCAAGTAAAACACACTCCCATAAAAAATGCATAAATGTTCATAAATATTCGGTTCTGGTGACCACGAATAACGAATTGAATTCATAAAGGGCTACAGTTTGATTCACCGAATATGCGAGTGAATTGGAACAGCCTTACTGAAGATCAATTCTTAGCCGGATCTTCACGGGTCCACAGTTTAGAGTTGTTTGAAGTAATTCTGTTAAGCCATAAACTTTCACTAAAAGTTCATTAGACCAGCGGCACTGAAAAGCATTAGGATATTCAACAGTTTACCTATCAACTGACTGTCATGAGATTCATATCAACCAATGGTCAAGTATGGCTAAATATAGATTAGGAACTTCCCAGCCTCTTGAATAACAAGAATGCCAAGACACTGCTCAGTTGAAGAAAATATGTATTCATCCTGAACACAATGAGCGTGAATGTAGATTGAGATGTGGTCAAGATTACTGTCATAGGATACTAGTGAGTAAGTTTAGTCGTATGATGCACTTAGCAATATTCCAGCTATATGGCGGCAGTCTAGAAATAATCAAATCTGGATCAGACAATTCAGTGATCAACAGCAAGAGCATTCATCTACACAATTGGGATGATGATATGTGTCAAACAAACTAATTTAGCGAGCATGACCACCCGATCCCGTTAGTTGCCTCCTACGACAAGCATGGTTTGCTGAAAACCAATTCTAACCCGGATCTTCACTGGTCTAGATGAGACAGAGGGAATGAATAAGATTTTATGCTACTCTTAGCATGTTTGTCAATGTTCCAACACAAATGATCTTCACATATTGCACCAATGTTATGAATATGGGGAATTAAACATCAGTCTTTAATATGTTCAGCATGATTAGTGAATACCTTAACCCATATACTATTTTACCACTGATGAATAGACAGCAGGATAGTAGCATCACTTTCCTCACCTTCCTTCATCTTGCAAGCCTGGTCCTTGTCACTGGACAGCATCCAACACCAGCCATGCCTCTTCTCTGGCGGCCAGTGGGTTGGAGCTAAGTCCGCCATAAAGTCCTCGGCCAGAATAACACGATGATACTCTTCCAAAGGGCCCACTTTGAACCATTCATCAAAGGGGATGTTTTTCTGAAAACAACATGAAATGTTTCAACTTAATAGTCAGATCAGAACAAAAGCTGTCATTAAATTGACAACCTTAGAAGGACAAATCTACAGAGAAAACTGACTTTGGTATTATACTTGGCCTCCAGCAATGACCCAGAAAACCTGATCCCCAGTTTTGTGTAAGTCATAAGTTAGCCCCTTTGGGGCACAGGCCCTCGTGTCTTTGCGAGGACTAAAGATTTTTTAAAAATATATACAAAATTTGAGATGACCCCTGACTCGAAATGCTTGGGGTGGTCGAAGCAAGCACTCTGGTTGGTTGATGTTTGTTAAGGAGACATTTACAAATGATGCTTTCTTTTGAGAAGCCATTGCTGAAAAAAATCTTACATTTCTTCAAGTCAAGCAGTCGATGAAAGTAACAATTCCCGAGAATATATAAAGAATGTGCAGATTTAGCAGCGTTGACCAACCAGAGTGCTTGCTTCGACCACACCCCCGTTTTGTGCGGATATATCGTCAGCCATTTGTGTAAAGATAGTTTAGTTGAGAGTCAAAATCGGGTTTCAATCGACTTGCAGAAATAATAAAACAGAATTGGTAGGTGTCATGAGCGGTGTTCGATAGGCCAATCATCCATGATTATGTTTCCATTAAGTTTTAATTGATTGCATGCGATGGTAGCGTAGCGATCGGCAAAGCAGTCGGTGGTGTACACCGAAGTGTCCAGCCTTGTCATGATGTATTGTACTGTGAGACATTTCGAGTGAGGGGTCATTTCAAGAACAATATTTTCAAATCATTAATCCTCGCAAAGACACGAGGGCCTGTGCTTTGGTGGTTATCCAGGTACTGCACTGACTTACATATGTTCTCCATGGTGGCAACACAAGTGTCCTGTCCAAGCTCTTTGCAAAGGCCAGTGCACCTAGAAAGTGGTCTGCCTGATTACCAAATCTACCTGCACAATACAAAAGTTATGAGCAGTGTTTAAATAATGATTAAAACTATTTAAAACATGCTTTATGCTGATTTTGCAGACATTTCTATACAGATTATTGAGGCAACGCCTAGAACTAGGCCACACATATTGTAGATTTGTAAAACAGTCTATGTCACTTGTGAAACACTCTTTCTCTAGTTTATATTATGTTAATATTATCTCAATGGCCTGCAGCATGTACAGTTCAGTATTTTAGGGTGTTTCATTTTATTGTCTTCCTATATGGCATCCTTACCTTGTCAGCTTGCTGAGAGCACTAATATTATATGTTTGATGCAGTGGACAAGGCATCCAACGTTGGTTTTGAAGGGTTTGAATTGTATAATGGTCCTTTGAAATTTTATTCGTTGGTTTCACATTACTTTTCAACTCGCTTTGCGCATGCGCAGAGCGTGCAAAAAGTATCCACTGGCATGTTTCCGGTTTGGTCGTATGTTAATCGATATCAGGGGTGGAAATAACTTTAAAATTGCTAGTGTACACCGGAACAGTGGCACATGTAAAATCACTTGCCCTGATAATTTTTCCTCTATACCAGCAGATTTTCTTGTTGATTGTTTAAATGAACAACATAATTAACATTGGAAAGTCAACTGGACATTGGTACAGCGTGATATACAAATTTGCTTGCCTGACTGGAAAAAACACTGGACTCGGGCGTCGGGCAATGGGTTATTTCCACCCCTGGATATGTATGTTTTATCCAAAGAAAACAAAAATCAAAACAAATATATAGTTTTTTAATTGATTTATGAAACAGATGCCGGGATTAGTTAAATAAATAGCTTCATTTATGTTAACAAGCTCTTGTATAAAGACCTTCCTTCCCGCACATCCCCTTCTCACAACTAAACAAACACATCTCTGATGGAATTTCAACCAAAATAGGACATCAATTGTTGAAAAGCAGAGGCAAATGGAAGTATGTACTCAACTATGAATAGTTGTCACAACGTAAATAATTTTCATAACAGCTTTTATTGAGAGTGCATTTACACTATCGATAAACATACGACCAAACCGGAAACATGCCAGTGGATATTTTTCACACGCTCTGCGCATGCGCACGGCGAGTTGAAAGGTAATGTGAAACCAACGAATGGCCGCTACATAGATGCCCAATGTGTGGCTAAGCACATCAAATTTGAGCAATATTACTATCAGTACCATACTATGTACCCCAGTAATATGAGGGAGTACGTCGGAGGGTAAGTTAGCAGTCATCCCACAGATGACATCCTTACCATCAGCTTCTTGAAGGGGTAAACTTCAAATAGTGATAATACAGGGGCCATACTAATTTCCAAGTTCCTCAATAGAATTAGATTTAATTGTTTGTATATTGTTTAATGCCACACTCAGCAATTTTCCAGCTATATGATGGCGGTCTATACGTAATCAAGTCTAGACCAGACAATCCAGTGATTGACAACATGAGCACCAATCTGGGAAAGATTTGCGCTCGTAACCCTGTTTTATTTTTATCATTCTATGCCTAAGAACAAACGGTTTCTATAAAAAAACAACCTAGCACTAACCCTTACCCTTACCCTCACCCAAACCCTAAAACCTTGAAATAAT